GGACAACTGCAGCAGGAGGCTGAAGCTAAGAACTTTTACTTTGCAGCTGGAAAGTAACAGGACCCCAGTCTCAAAAATGGCAGCCAACCGAGCAAACTTTTGCCAAAGCAAAAAGTTTCAGCTGCAAAAAGAAATACACACAGAAATATGTATAAGTTGAGTCGTATATAGCAAAATAAAACAAGAAATTCTACATGAATAGCTTCATCATAACGAGCACACAAATGCTCTAGATGTTATTTTTAGCAGATATAGAAAAATAGAAACTACTTATTTTAATATATATATTTTTATTATTGTATATTTTTTTATTATTTTATTCATTATTTGTATATTTTTATATATCAAATAATAAAGGTATAAACAGGGGTAAACATATTGATATAAATGTAAATAACTATAATTGATTTAAATATAAATATAACTCAGCTTACATAACTATCGTATACAAAATTATAAAAGATGGACATGATTATTTTAATAATAACTAGTCGTGTAAAATAGAAGAATTTTACAAATATTGAACAAACTAATATAAATACAGACTATTCACATGACATATATAGAACATGATTTTAGCTATAATACTTAAATACAAAGAAACAAAACCTCAACTTAATATACATATATAACCAATATATCAAATAGAATGTATTTCATTTTATTTTGCCACAATTCTACTTAAAGATTATATTCCACAAGCATTAACTTTCCTGTAATACGACTTCGTTACAATTATTATAACCTATTTTCTTATAATATTAATATTTGTATAATTTAATTTTATTTTATTTAAATCTATGATTTATTTTATTCACTCATTTCTACATTTTCTTATATTTTTGCAAAACATTTCGATAAAAATGTCAAAATTTCTTTATCGTCTATATAAGCTTCAAAGCATATTTGTAGCTCAAGTTGAACAAACGGTTAAAGAATTTGCAAAAACCCGGCGAGAAGTATTAGAAGCAAGTGTATCTGTTTGTCTGGCACCCATCCGAGCCGAGCCGTGCCGAGTCGAGCCAAGAGCGAGTATGGGCATTGGGTGGTCGATGGCAAGAAAACTTTCTCGTTCTGGGACAAAACAGGCGTTGGTTAGAAAACGGAGTCGAAATTTAATAGAAAATGTTCTTGTCGGAATTTTCATTTATAAATTCAGCAGCACAGCCGGAGACGTGGGGGAACATGAACAGCCACGAGGACTAGGCACTGCCCAACAATTTGCAGCAATGGCTGCAAAATTCCAAGAAGTTTTAGCCCAGCCAAAGGGGACGTGGGTGTTGTACATGGATTCTAAATGCTTTTCATGTACATGTCGTTTTTGTGCCTTTTGCTTATGATTTATAGCACCGGCCCGAGAAGATCTCAGCAGCAACGTCGCCATTTAAGTGGAAAACTATACGTACAGAATTTAGGTATGAGCTGTATGTCTGCATAACAACAGTCCCACACACAGACACACACACACATTTGCATAGTGCTTAAGTATTGGTGCAAGCATTTCATAGCTGAATGCTTTTAATGTTTTACTTTTGATGTTGACCGCACGCATAATAGATTGATAAATAGAGTTTGGGGCCGTGCTGGTGCTTCTTGTGTTATTGACATGCCATTTACAACACATTCCGCATTAGTCTAGACCAGAACTGGACGAACCACGCCGCACGAACTATAAAAGCATTTCCAGCTTAAGGCAAACTTAAGGCAAGTTCTTTTAGGCTTTCGATTTCAGTGTCTGGCGAAAGCCCTCATCAAAGTCAATTTAATTAATGGACACACTCGTCGAGTTCAGCAAGTAGGCAGGGTTAAGGAAAATCAATATTCAAATATGCCACGCATCCGGCCCAGTTCATCTAGTCAAGCCATGACGACATCAATTAGCACACATCATCTTGAACGCCTCCAGAAATTGCCAACATAGGAGGTACAGTACCCACACGCACATGAAGCCCTTGTGGCTATAAGAAAAGGCGTGGTTGTGAGCTCTCATCGAACACACACACAAAGGGAACTGGTTTCTGTTGCTGGTGTGCGAAAACTCACCCCCGAATTATATATGAAGATGAAGCTGTTTCGCTTACCCGTTAGCCCGCCTGTTTCTAATAAGAAACTGACGCCATTTTGAATTTGTGAGCAACCCCTGCTTAGGAGCGGAAGGAATATCAACCAGAGGCGAGCATGTTTCTTATTTATGACATTTTTATGCTAATGGAATTTACGTGTGTATCTGTGAGGTTGAGTGTGTGCTTGTGTGGGGGCTTCATGCATGTATGTGAGCACATCCTGGGGGATTTGGGCATAAAGACGACGCATCCGATAAGAAAATACTGCGGGTACTTTGCCCTTGCTTAGCCCTTACGAAAATCCATAGTATATGCATATAACTGCTTGTTTCTATATGAATTTATGCCAATGCTGGAGCATTGATAATAATAATGTTGATATTGGAAAAATGTGAATATACGAATGAATATAAAACTAAAAATAATACATACATTAAACTTGTTCATGCTACATGTAAAATAAATGCGATTTAATGGATTTTTTGTACTTTTTTTACCCAAAAAAAAAAAAACAACTCTACTTTTATCAAGACGAGTTAACGACTCCAACTTTGCTGGCATTTAAGGACTACTCTTGTAGCACAATGAACTTTATGCTTATCTCCCACATGGTACTAAAAGCATCCTTGTGGCCAGCTTGTCTCTTTATGGGTCTGCTCCGGCCAGATGGTAAAGTAGCGCAAAAGCCCGATAAACTCTTTTAATGCGTATGCTGAACATAAAAGAATCCTTGTGTTTGACATAATTATGAAAAGGAAACAAATGTGCCACGCACACAGGGACACACAACGGGACTTTCATAGCACACGCGCACAACTTGAAACAAAAGGACTTTTCTTTTCATATAATGATAAAAAAATATATATATAAATATAAAACCAAAAAAACAATGTAGAAATGTGTGACACAGAGCGCCAAATGTAGCAGCAGCACGCACTGTTAGGCTAAAGGACGAAAAAAGGACACTCACACAGACAAGCGGACAGTGTGACTATGTCTTAAAAGCCAAAGCTGCAGGTAATAGCCGATTTGGATTCTGGCTCTGCGCCTGGCAGCTTCCATGGTGGGCCGCCAGGACACGCCTAGACCTCAAACGACAAACGCCCCCAGTTAAAGGAAGACCCTAAACACCGTCTCCCTCTAGCTGCCTTTGGCTCTCGTTCTCGATCTCTTTCTATGTGGACATTCCGGAAAGCAATTCAAATGCCGTCTACTCGTAAATCAACAACAAAAATTTCCAATTAATTTGCACATCACAAAACTTGCACGTAAATAAAGCAGCCGGCAGTCCCCCCTAGTTCCCCAAGTCCCCCACAGAAATGCCAAATAAATTGCCAAGTGAAGCATCAATAATGGCATAAAAATTGATTACATTTGCGACGAGACACTGGGGGAGTTCGTTGGGACTGGGGGACGGTGGGCTGGCTTGGCTTATAGTTGTAAATAGTTCTCCTGCTGCTAGTTAACTATGCAGGAAATGTATGCCGGAATATATACATACACACACACACACACACACATACGCGCTGAACCCATGCTGAAGAGCTGAGCCCCAAAAAAAGAGGACTCAGCTTTGTCAAGGGCCATAAACAGGATTGCCTAACCCAACTCAGGCACATTTTCTTGCACTATCCTTGCATATCCTTGAGGCTCTTTCAAACGAGTATATGCCCAAAACATAGATATGTATATATATGTATATATTAAGTATATACTTCAATGGGGCTCTCTGTGTGGGTTAACTTCAACTACAACATGTAGCAGGATGTGCCTCAAAATAGTTTCTACACACACACACACAGATACATACTAATACCTACACATTATTTAAACTTGTCCTGACGAGGGTAAAAAAGATGTTTCCTTCTGCTGCTATTTTATTGTTGTTGTTGTTGTTGCTGCTGCTGCTGCTACTGTCGTTGTGGTTGTTGCTGGGGCATCTTGTTGTCCTGTTTTGATCTGTGCCAGTGTCTGTGCCAACTAATAAATATGACCGAAATGAAACTGCCCAAAAATTTCCACACAATCACACATTATGCACACCCACCCACACTCACAACACACACACACACACACAGAAACACGCCCACTTGGTCTCACACATTAGCCATATAGTTTTGTCAGTTGGCTTACAAGTTGACTGCAAAATCCGCAAAAGAACGTTACACACACACACACAATCGTCTGTTTATGTGTGGGTGTCTGTGTGTGTGTGTGCTTGTGTGGAAGCACGCTCACATTGCCAACTTTCGGTTCATAAGTGGTCGCCTCTCGCCTTCACGTATGTGAAAAATGAACCCATCATAGCCGAAAAACTACAGCAGGAAATTCGGTTAGCAAGTGTTGGCTCCCAATTCCACTATACTATATGAGTGGACCACTGGGTATATGCTTGTGTATGTGTGTATGTGTGTGTGAGCTCAAGTGTGTGTAATGTGTCCTTGCTCTTATGCTCTTTCATAAGATATTTTGATTTAGCTAAAGTGTTCAACATGGAAACAAGTAAAACTAATTTATATGTTTTCGAATATTTAATTAATTAATAAAATACTTTATCAGTATTTGGATTATTTTGTTATCAAGATTTAAGTTGATAATATATTTTTAATAAAATAATTAATCCTTTGTAAACACAAACAATGTAGAAGCGTAATTATACTATAACAATATTGTAGATATTTATGATTAGACATATCCAAAAATGTTTACGTAATTATAATTTGTGTAAGAGCATATCTCAGTTCACTTAAAATTACGTTCGTTATTTTGTGAGTGTGTGCGAACTTCGAATATTTTTTGTACATTTTTCTTACTTGTTTTTTTTTTTTTTTTCCTTAAGTCAAATTATGGTAACATAAATGTGGGCTGCAGCAGCCACATTAGCATCAGCAACACCAACACCAACGCCGGCAGCAACAACAATCGAAGAGAGGAGCTACAAACAAATATCTGGCCAACCCGAAATGAGGGTCGCCCCAGCTTGCCTGGGAGATAGATGGAAATTTGTTTGAGTATTTTTAGGCGCCTTTTTAGAGCGGCGCAACAGCTCCCCAGCAGTTCTGTAAAGCCTTTTGTTGAAATTTTATTTGGCATGTGTGTGTGTATGTATATCTTTTGCTGACTTTTACACAAAAACACACACCCGCACAAACACAAACACACACAAACACCCACACACACACATTTAGATACATTGTTACGCACAATCCGTTTCCTTGAAAAAGCCGCTCTCTCTTTTGTGTAGGCACTTTTCATGTGCCTCTATATATGTGTGTGTGTGTGTGTGTATACATTTAAGTATGTGGCAGTATGCGTGTGTGTGGGTGTGCTGGCAATGGCCGCCATAGCCATTGCTTATTGTGCTCCTTGTCCTTGTTGTACTTACCCTTGCCAGCTGCCCCCAATCTAAAGCTATTTTCTCTCTGTCTGTTTTCACTTGTATTTTATATGAAAACTTTGCAGCACACAAATTTGCATATGTACAAGTCGTTGTAGGTGTGTGTGTGTGTGTGTGAAGCAAATATATGCAAATTTCAAGTGTTTCCTCTTCGTTATAAACCCAACTTCAATGTAAAATTAACAGAAATATGTAAATTTTGTTTTCGTTAAGGTTCACAGTTGAATCTAAAATTATGGCAAGGCTGTCAAAGAGCCTAACGAAAGCCCTCAGCACTTTGGTAGGAACACATTTTGTACACAACTGTACCATAAGCACACACATACACAGAAGCACACCATACCCCTCGTACAATCATGCATACATTGGCAGAATCCAAATTGTTAGACCATAAACGACTTGGCTCGAGATTGTGCATCGCATCTCCTACTACAGACACTTCTCCAGCACCCATCTGTACGTAGACTGTGCTCCTCTAGAGACCCCCTATAAAGACAAAAAGGAACGAGGTCCCCTGGCTGTAGGCTAACTTCAGGCTTTCGCAATTTATGAAAATTGCTTTACAAACTAATTGAGAAGCAACTGAATGAGCATCTTGTAAGAGACTATGCCTAACTAATATTGAAATGGCTTAGCAAAATATATAATTTATATTGTTATTATAAGTTAATGAAATCTAAAAACTTAAATTATCTACTATGCAATTGTCATTTATATATATACATATAATTATTAAATCATATACAAAAGATCATAAAAAATTTTAATAAAATAAATGAAATTTAATTAAAGGTAGTTCATTTTTTATTATAGTTAAAAATTAATAATTGGTTTTATAAATTTCATTCATATAAATAATTAAAAGACATGTATACTATATACATATGTATATTATATTTATATATTTATTAAATATTAATTAATTCGGTTTTAAGTCTTAAAACAACTCTACTTGAGCAATATTTAAATATATAAAATATAAAATGATAATTATATTTAGTAATTTCTCTTTTTATATATATTTTATTGCATCTCGCTAATGCCAAGGATTTCTTTACCCAATTAATGTTTAATTCATAGCAATATAGAGGACTCTTTACCATCTACAAATATGTATTAACTGAACAACACTTTACACTTTACAGCTTTAAGTCAAACGTTAAATTAACATTTAATTAATAAACCACAGTCAAATGAAATTAAAAGTTTCCCTCGAATTTTATTAGCCACTTTGCATAAAGGTTTCTCACGAAATGAATTGATTACACTTTTAAGAGTAATTTCTGTTTTATATTTTTTTAATCAGTTTTTATAGTAAACTAAATATTCGTTTATAAACACAAACAAATATCGTCTGTCTTAGCATTTTCTAACTCTCTGGCCACACTATCCGCGGCATTCACAATGGACGGAATTCCTCCCTTGCTACGCTCACAGAGTGTCCCATTTCGGAATGTTGCAAGCAAATGGGAAACGCGAATGCAAATGTCATGAACCCACCTCTAACCTTTCGCCCAACCCGAGCAAACAGAGGTTAATAGAACTGCGAAGCAACAAGAGAAAAAAATCCCAGCGAAGGCAACCCTTAACTTGTTGATCTGCCCGACAAAATGAAAACTGAAAGTGAGCCTTAAAAAAAAAAAAATAAAGTATAAAAAACTCAGTGACCGGACAAACGAACGTTTGCCTACCAAGAAAAGGTTGCCTGACCCAAAAGTAAGATGAAGTAACAGAGTTGATGGGGATTGTACTTGCATTGGAAATTGGCGTCGAAACTGGGTTGGCTGCCCTGCGTTGGACCTGTGCAGGCCATAAATTTCGGAGCGACAAATTAATGTATGAAACTTCAAAACTTGTTTCAAAACGAGCCAATTCCGATGATTATCAGCGAAATTTGCCTGAATTTCAGGCAACAATCAAAATTTGGTAAAAATCTGAGTTTTTTCCCATCAGAGCAACCAGACAAACACAGATCAAATGGTCAGGGATATTCAAGGATGTTGAACGCACACGTTGGACAGCAGAGGAACTGGTTTTCATGGTCCAGCAGCCGTTGCAGCTTTCAGATGGAAGCCAGGTGTGCTACGATCCTGAACTCCATCTGGATGATGCTGTATGCTGTATGCGGTATGCGGTATACTGCCTGATCTGCAGACCCACCACCATGAATAGAAATCGCACTTTTTATCAAACATCCTAGCAACGGTTTTTCTATAATAAACTTGCCAAACGGGTTTCATTGAATGCATTGTTGCCCAGCCGCGCCTATTGTCCATATCCGGCCAGACAATGCACAAAGCTTTGCAGCCTCCGGTTCCAGATCGTCATCCCCGGCTGGCGAGCAAATCTGGCTGGGTATATAAGCCACGGCTGCTGCGCAGAATCAATCAGTTTCATTTCAATCTTCAAACGCTGAGGATCAACAGCAGCAACAGTAGCAGCAGCAGCAGCAGCAGCTAGGAGCAGCAGCAGGAAACCACCGAGGACTTTGTGGACCAGCAACAGATCCTCCATCCTCCAGCGCAATGCCCTAAAAGCGCTAAGGAGGCTGTTGCACGCGGCATTACAAAAAAAAACAAAAACAAAATCTATCAAGTTTACTTTCAACCGTTCCGAAAACCACGAATTCAAAAAACTACAAAAGTTTCAAAAAATCACACAAGTTAAACCAAAAACCTAAAACGAAAAACCCAAATACCAAATATAACCGAAAGTCAGATTAATTCTTATTCACAAACTAAACACTAAACAAAACACTACGACAAAAATATTAAGTAAAAACTATAAAATCAGTTTGCAAAAGTAAACCAGAAACTCCAATCCTAATATAGTTTTGCGATAAGGTTTAAAAGCGGAAACAAAAATAATAATAAATGTTTAATGCACAACGAACCAAATTCCATAACAGACACTAAAAAACTATACATAAATACCTCAAAACTATATTCAACAAACAAAAAGAAATATAACAAAATATCAAAAGAAATTAAGAAGTGCAAACAACTCGACAACAATTGGAAAGTTTTCAAAGCTAACCTAAAAAGAGGACGAAAAAGGAAATACCGCATAGATACTAATATTATTTTTTATATTTTACAGGTAAGTTCAGCAATATTAGGGTATACAGCTTTTATAGTGCAGCTAGCAGAAGCAAATTTTTTATTAATGTCAAATTTTAAACACGTATATATATATAGGACCCCTCACAGTTGAGCAGACAGCTAGACGCCTTCGATTGAAGCTAGCATGGATCAAACAGCTACAGCAACAAATTCCAATTGACACCCAGAAAATTGTTATGAAACTCAAAGAAATTCTAAAATGTTTATTGCTCATATTTCTCTACTGCAACGACAAACGACAAATCAACAAATTCATTAACAACAACAAAAGTCCAACTCATCAAGAGAACCAATCCAAATCGAAACGCCTTAAGAGACTGCAATGCAACTGCCAGCAGCCCCAAACCGAAGCACCGTGCCCCAAACAGCAGACCCGGCCACCAAATCCTACAGAATTCCGACAAAAATTACAAGGAAGGAAACCCAAATTCAAGTTAGCAACAACAAAATCGAGATTCGCATATAACGGCACAATTGCTGCGACGGCGCCTGCTACGCTGATGACGATGATGATGATGAAGACGATGACAAAGCGTAAGATCGAACATTTGACGGCGAAAGCAGCAGGCATCAGGAGCAGCGGCAGCAACAGCAGAAGCAGCAGCAGCGACGGCAACGTCGTCATTTATCTAAGGCAGCAGCTTAACGGGGACACAGTCGCCCCGCCATAGATATTTGGCTGAATATCTAAGCAGGGGCGGCTGCCCCAGCAGCAACCCCTCGACAGGAAGGAATCAAACACACACACACATACCACCCCAACAAGCAATCTAAGTTTCTGCGGCGAATTCAACACAAACACAAGCACAACATCACACACAGACACACACACACACACACGCATACACAGAGAGAGCTACAGCCTAAGCAAGAGAAATGGAGAGAGCAAGAGCGAGAGCAGCGAGCGCAGCACGAGAGAGCATCTTTGGCAGCCCAAAAAGCGCACAACGAAAACAACATTTCGCAAGTATGTTTTGACCTTACGTTTTAGCTTAACGTTTTTCAGTTGCACTTTTAAAACCTTTCGATTTCAAAGGCCGCTGCACAGCGTTAGCCAACAAAAACAAATCGAAATTAATTATCTCAAAAGTAATATTTAAAGAAATTAATACTCAAAACAACAACAAAAACAGCTAAAAGGTGAGCTTGTGCTGCGAACACAAGAAAACAAAAGAAGCAAAAGCAAAAAATATCTATTTTATTATGTACAGCAGCGATTTTCCATTAACAGCCAAACACATTAACTCAAAATCGAATCCAAATCCTAGTCCTACTATAGTACTGCGAACAAAACAAAAAAAAAATAACTTGAAAAGATTAATAAAACAAAAAATTCAACTCTTCTTCCACGGCATCGCAGAAGCCTTCATTTCCAACCCGAACCCGGGCCCCTGTTAACCTCCAAAATCCACACACACAATGCAATAGTTTTTCATTTTGTGTATCAAAACGCAAATCGAATAATGTTCCAAATTTCAAATTAGCGTTTCGTCCTTATGAATCTTTAGTTTTCACAAACCAAGTTATTAAAACCTCTACGAAAATCAAGTTTCGCACATCAAGAGCTTCAGGCATAAACCAACCACCAATTCGGCACTGAACTTACACACACACAACACACACACATACTTTCGAATATATACCTATACAGGGGCACACGCTCACACACACCCATGCACACAAAACACATACACGCACTCACACACACGCACCACATATACCCACACCACTTTGGTAATAAAATGGCTGCAAAGGAAGCTGCTTCTACGATACCCAAGAAGAAAAGAAATAGCCCGACCCCAAACACACATTTTGATAGCGAAAAGTATCAGAAATATTTTAATTCTAAACATTTTTGACGCTTTCAATATTTTTTTCGCATTTTCAAAAAACTAGAGATGGCAAAGGCGTTGCAGAAATTTTTAACTCGACATTTTTGAAAGTAAAAAAAAAAATATTTAATGCGCAAAAATGTTCACGAAAAAAAATCCTAAAACACGAACCAAAAATGATACATACTCGTAGGTAGCAAAAAATCGTTGCCAATTTCATTCAAACACTTAAGAACTGAAACATAAATCGTCTGCTGGTCGTTGGTAACTAAACACAAACCGAAAGAAATACCCCCTAAAATCGAATTTATTTTTATTAATTATAAATTTTTATTTATGTTTATGGGTAAAGCGGCAAATATTGACGAAACTCAAAATCAAAACACACAAAACTCTAACAAAATGACAAATTTTTAATTCAATCAAATTCATATTTATTCAATTAGAAAGTGAATCTTATATATTTATAGCTCAAAATCCAAAATCGAACCCATTTAATGATTCTCATGTTATTGCCTTATACATATAGGGAAAAACTTTCATTTCCAACCAAAAAAACAAAAAATAAGACTGATATTTAGAAGATGATTTTAAAAAAATATACTAAAATGGATAAACAAAAATTAGTTGCTCCAATAATTTTTACAAATGCATTCAAAACCAATAACAAAAATATACTAAACTCAAATCTAAATTACATTAATATTTACAAGAAATAGAAAAAAAATCAGAATTAACATTTTTAGATACTCAAATATTTATTTGAAGTGAGTTAGTGTCTTCACATTTCAAAATACATTCGTTCAAAATCAATATCCAAAAATATATACAAACACAATCCAAAACTCAAATTAAATCAAATATTAACATATTTTTATTTGTAATAATATCATACAAAATTAATTTTCAATTTAATTCTTAAATTAATGTTTAGCACAATTAATTTGAAATCAATCCAAAAAACGTGAAATCCTAAAATCGTTTATATAAACAACCAAATTAATCTATTCTTGAACTTCTAAAGTTCCTATGCAAAATAATACAATACTAACCAAGTTTGCAAAAACTTGAAATGTAATAAAAACTTTAAATCGATGATCAAATTTATAGAAAAATGGGTTTAGAAAAATCTTGTTTAAAAATATTAAATTCATAACTAAATATCGAAAATATCCAAACCTTTGCCACTAAAGAAGACATAATTCCATTCAGACCTTTCATTGAAAGACAAAATACACCTCTCGCAATATTTTACATAATTAATTCCATCCAAAAGCTTATTTTGATCACAAACAAAAAATGAACAGAGTATCGAACAGTCTATAACATTTGCTATTTAAAAACTTTTCGAATAATTTTTATAAGACTGACTTAAAATTTCGTTCTGAATATTATTATTTCGAACAAACCTTCAGTTATATTATATTCAAAGCTTAAACAAATTATTTTATATATTCTGTATCTTCGCCTTAAACCAAAAAATATTCATATTTCATATCAACCAAAAAGAAACAAACAAGAAAATCATTAATATTCAGTAAAGCTTTTAGTAAATTTATGTCCTTATAACAAAGCAAAAGCAAATAATTTGATTTAAAAAATTTTAAATGTTTGGATATTTTTATGAATGAATCTTATTTTCTTTTAATTCTTTAAATTATAAATTTAAAAATCGATCTAGATACAAGTTAACATTTTAAAATTAAGTATCGCAATTTTTTTATTTTAGACTTTTTTGAGCTTTACTCAAGCAAAAAAAAATTCCAAAATTAAATAGAATAGGACTATTGTTTTATTAATTTAAATCGAATTAAAAAGCTCATAATTCAGACCACATTGAAACTACATCTTCTGCCTAAAATTTTACCCATTTAAAAATATCGTTCTTTGACTGACCAAATTTAAGAGAAAAGCTTACTGAAATTACTTACCTAAAAAACCTTTTAACACTGATCAATATAACAAAAGTTCAATTTAAACCTTTAAATTTCATCAAATAGGCAACAAATTTAAAGTTTTTACACGAAAATCTGAATTCAAAATTTAATTTGATAAGTAAGCCCAAATTCATGAAATTTAATTCAAATTCATACTCAAAAATTTAAATTTCAAATGACAACAAATTCAATGCAATCAAAACATAAAAACTTCATTAAAACATTTAATAAACTCGAAATACTTTAATAATTTGCGAGCATATTTAGAAACAAAAATATTCCCGACAATTTTTATCTTTTTCAACTCTTAAAAACAAAACAAATAATTTTATGTAAATGATTTAAAATTTTATTTCTTGAAAATTGTGATATATACAAAAACTATTTACTGTTTTAGATATTCCTTTTAACAAATTTCTATCAAAATTATTTAATTTTAGAGCTCAAAATATCCAAAGAAATTCTAAATTTCCACTTTCGGCTACTCTGGCAAGCAACAATTTACAAAATTCCACACTAACCGGCAATCAAAATTCAAAATCAATATTTAAAAATTCTAGTATCCAAAACAACTCAATTTCAGGTGATCAAAATCTGTGCAAAATTAATGCGAAATCCGAAATTAAAACCTAAAAATCATACAGAGCTCTGACTCAATACAAAACCCCAAAAAATAAAAGAAAAACTGAACAAAAACAAAAAGAAGCAAGTCCAGTAAACTCTTAGCTTTCGAAACACTCTGAGCAGTTCCGCCAAAGACCACAACAAAATTATATTCAATTCTAAAGAGCAAAAGACAAATTAACTGAAAAGTCGCAGCATTCGGATGCCCTTTGGCGCATAATTATTATTATTACACATTAAGATGACAAATTGCAACGAAATTCCCAAAAAGCAGCATTATAAATTACAAGCACGAACGGAAGTTTTAATGCGACAAAAAGTCAAGAACAAAAAGAAAAAAACATCATCATCATCAGCAGCATCATTATCATAACACACCAAAAACAAGAGGAACGCAAAAAGAAATAACAAAAAAAAAAAAAAAAAAAAAAAAAAACAAGACTACAAGGAGCAAGCAACTGTCCTGGCAAACTTTCTGGCAAAAATCTTACAAATGGCGGCCTACTCATTCGCCAGAGAAATAGGACAAGGCAGATAAATCAACGCGAACAAAACAATTCTGAACCAAAAACAACAACGATTATTGTAAAAACTTTCGCATAGAAGGGGTTGAAATTGAAAATAAATTCAGTAGCCAGATTCATACGCCAAAATCCCTCAAGCACACTCACACACGCATGCACACACACAACACACGCAGAGGCAGAGATAGAAACACACACGCACAAGCCACAAAGCCAACGATAGTTTTGGATAGCTCAAAATTGTAAACATTTGAAAGCGATTCTAAGAAGTCCTCGGGACGCATTATTTGCGCTTGACAGCAGCGAAGACAAAAAACATACAGAGTTCACCAAAATCCAATTCAAATTCCAAATCCAAATCGAAATCAAAATCAAAATCAAAAGCGACAAATGAAAACAGAAACACAGAACCAGCAGCCAGAACTTTAAACACACGAAAGACATATATCAGGCAAATCAGCACCCACTACACCCTTTAAACAATGTGGTTAGTTTAGTTTTCTTTGGCAAAGAAAGTTCGAACCCCATCAACAGCAGCAACAGCAGCAACAGCAGCAACAGCAGCAACAAAAGCAACAACAGCAACTCAGTCCCCCAATGCATGCAGTTGAAAGCACATCAAACAAAACTGTAAATTTATATAAACTACTGGCAATAGAGGAGAGGTCGTAGCATAATTGCTATCAATAAATAAAATATGGCTGAATCGTGGGTAGGTAGCTCATATGCGCTCTAACTCTAAACTTCAATCAAGTCAAAAACTCCCAACGACCACCAGACAGACAAATTTTTGATTTAGAAATTCATTGCGAAAGTTGCCTGGCCAAGCGGCAGCATAAGCAACAGACTAACAACAACAACAACAGCAACCATCATCTAGAGACTTGGCATCAACAACAACAGCAACAGCAACAAGAACAGCAACAGCAACATGAGCAAAAAACCATCTTTCTTTATGAAATTACACATTTCCGACTTGTACAACGACAACATTGTAGCCCAAAAAACCCAAAAAAGCAACAAAAACTAGCAAAAAGCAGCAAAAAGCAGCAAAAAGCGAAAGCATCTATGCAAATGTAACCAAATCTAAGGCAGACCATACCGTTTTTCCATACCATTTGACGGCTTGACTGAAAATTAAGTTACATATCTTATTTACACACAACAAAACTTGAAGAACCAACCATTTAGAAAAAAAATGACTAACAAACTGACACGTTTCATGCATTTTGGAAATCTGCAAAATCATCAAGAGAAGAAGCCAAAACAAACAAATCGCAGCAAATGGAATCTTGTACAATATTTCTATTGAAAAATCCATTTAGAAGCAAAAACAAAAAATAAGAAAAGAAAACCCAAAATCTGGGATTCTAAGATCTATACAAAGAGATAGAAAGAATGAAAAATTAAAATCCAAATAGCAAAAGATACAAAACAAAACAAAACGACTCAAATCAAAGATATTACAAAGTATTTCGGACACAAGGTTGGGGATACCTAGTGTAATTGCTTAGACTTAAGAGTGTTGTACTTGCGGGAAGACAAGTGCAAGACCCAACAACCAGGGCCAGATTATAAAAATGCCTATAGAAAGATACCCAAAATTCAAATAATTATTAAAAAAAAACAAAAAAAACAAACAAACAAACAAAAAATGCAAGCTAAGCACAAGCAAATACTATTAAGAATTCTTTCCTAAGTCTCTGGTAGAAATACACGCGTACGGCTACAGTAAATTTAATTATGTAACTACACTCTGTATCCCCTTAGTTAAGCTAAAAAAAAAAAAAAAAGAAAAAATTCACAATTTCAGCAAATGAAAAAAAAGGAAACCCAACAATGAATGGGTATAAAATGTAGATAATGCCAATCGTTTTGTCTAAAATGTTATTTCTTCTAATTTTCCACAATCTTGTGGAAAATGTTTTAGACGAAACGATTGTCGCATTTTTTATATACATATGAGCATATTTGTAAACGATATATTATTTAGAAAAGATTTTATATGATTTTCGATTTAATTTCTCCCCATCAGCATTTTACAAACAAATAGGTCAAATGTTCTCAGTTCTTTCGGTTAGCATTCCTACTTATGTATAGTTACTAAACCTAAAACAAAAACAAAGAAAAGAAAAAAACTGTGTTATTCAATCTCTTTGATGGATCTAAAACCAAATCATATTTTTCTCATTAAGCTAACAACAAATAATAATTTTATTTAAAATCAATCATTTTACTTAAATTCTTATTTAATACAAATCCAGACTTAAGACTAAAATCATTTTGTAAACATTAAAAATAGTTGATACTTAAACAAAAGCAAACAAAAGTAATCAATAAAATTGTACAAGCCAATTTGCTCAAATAACAAAAAAAAAAGAAGAAAACAAATGCTTTTTATTCAATTTTTTAGCTTTATTAAACATTTCAGGAATATGTACATATAAATACATGATTTCAGATATATTGAAATTTGTTTCAATTTATATGGTAAGCTCGTTTACTCAAATAAGTTAAAAGCCAAACCACATGGTATATATATTTATCATAAAAATAAACAGTAATATCCAGCCAGCCCTATCATTCTTCCGCTCGCCTATTCTTAATCATCCACATAAACTCTGTTTCAAATTATCAATAATAATTACCTTAAATTCACAAACATTAAAAAAATATTAATATACTTCGAACATTAGTATACTCCACATAAATATTAATATACTCCCTATAAAGTAAAGACAAGTTCTGAAGTGGCTCATGACTATGGCCTATACTTGTGGTTGCGATTCTCTCAACCCTTAAATAGCAGAAAACTAAATGTCATAATATATATGCTATAATATTATAAAATTGAATTCTCCTTTATAGTTTAATTAGTACAAAAAATTTGGCTTAGCTTTGACATAGACGTCCATTTTGATAACATCAACTGAACAACGTGAATCACAGATCAAATAGAACGCTATCCTACAAACCCGTTGCTAGCTCAGCAGGCGTCTCAACGAAGGACTTGATCTTCCGAAGGAATAGCACAGCCTCACGTCCATCAATGATTCGGTGATCGTATGTGAGGGCCACGTACATCATTGGCCTGATTTTTACCTGCAATATGCAAAAGTTAATTGAACTTATATTTTACTAATTGAATTTGCAGGGGCCCACCTCGCCCTTGACAGCAATGGGCCGTTCCACGATGCCATGCATGCCAAGTATAGCACTCTGGGGCGGATTTATGATGGGCGTACCCATCAGTGATCCAAACACGCCACCGTTGCTGATGGTGAAGGTGCCACCGTCCATATCCTCTATGGTGATGGCATCGCGCTTCGCCTTGTCCGCCAAGGCACCCAGGGTTTTCTCTATATCTGCGTACTTCATGCTCTCGACGCCGCGGATGACGGGCACCACGAGGCCACGGGGCGAGGCGACAGCCACAGAGATATCCACATAGTCACGATAAATAATTTCCTGTGGGAAAAAACTCGGAATAGGATTATACGACTACACCCTTAGTTAATAATTATACCTTATCAGCAATGACTGCGTTAACGACGGGCTGATCTTGCAATGCGTTAGAAGTAGCTTTTGAAAATATGGACATAAAGCCGAGCTTGACTCCATTCTTTTTCATAAATGCGTCCAGGTTCTCCTTGCGAAATTGCATTACAAAACTGAGGAGAAAGGCCTATATATGTAGAGTTTAATAAATTACATATTAATGAGAACCAACCTCATGTCGATTTCATTGAAAGTGGTTAACATGGCACAGGTGTTCTGTGCGTCCTTTAAGCGAGCCGCAATTTTCAAGCGCATGCGGCTCATCTTGACTTTTGTTTCGGTGCGTGTGCCCTTTATGGGAGGCGGACCTCCTCCGGCGGGCGGTGCTGGAGCAGGCTTTGGCGCTGCAGCTGCGGGTGCAGGAGCTGGAGCTGGTGCAGGTTTTGGAGCTGCTGGTGCTGGAGCTGCTGGCGCTGGGGCTGGGGCTGGTGCTGCAGCTGCGGGGGCTGCAGCAGCTTTGGCCGGAGCTGCGCCAGGCTTCATCTTAAATACCTCCTGGCCAGATTTCACCGTATCGCCACTCTTAACAAGAATCGCCGTCACGACGCCAGCAAAGGGCGCCTGCACCGGCATCGTTGTCTTGTCCGTTTCAATCTCCATGACAGCATCATCGGCAGCAAACGAATCGCCCACCTTGCATGTGAACCTGAATCCCGAAGGATTTCAGCTGAAAGTGATTTTTTTCTGTGCGAGCTACTTACTTGATGTCACCTTCAGAAATGGAGTCAGGAAACGGTGGCACCTTAACCACCTGCTCTGACCACATGACGCTGGTGGTGTGAAAGCCCTTCCACTCCAAGTAGCTGCAATAAAATGTCATTTAAACTATTTCGTAATTTTAGAGTCCATCGTATGGACGATGGATAGACGAAGTCGAGCGAAACGATCCTTACCCCACTACATCCTGAAATCGCAAAGCAGTATTCGACTCTAGGCACAAGAGCTTATGCGGCTGATAAAGTGCCTTTCCAAGAGCCATCCGACTACAGTGACGATTGAAAAGTTGGCGCTAAATCAGAAATTGCAAAGAGTCAATTGCTTCCCGTGTAGCCTTTTAGCTCAAACTTGTACTTACATTCCATATCCCGGATCGTAGACATAAAAAGTGAATATTACGCCGCAAGGATCTTTTTAAAATGGAGGCAGCACTCATCGTTAGCTAGATGGTATAATTCAAGCGAAAAAAATCCCTAAATAAATCCAAATTGAGGTTTGAGCTAATGCAAAGCTACCTAGATGATAATCAAACTTTCTTAATATGCCGTCACGATGTGACAAGAGTATATTGGCTTTATTCAATATCCCTTTAATTAAGTATTTCTCTGTATATAATAATATTTATTGTTTTTTTTTTTTTATAATATAATATCGGCTTAAATTTCGGGCAAACATTTCAAATTCTAACTTTTTATGCAGTCTAGTCTAATATCTGATAAAAACCATTAATTAATGCCGTTTCGTTTCTATTCCATTATACTATTTTCTAACAAGGTATTAGTTTCAAACAATTTCAGTAGAAAAAATCTTCTAAAAAGTTTTATTTAAATATTTATTTATAAATATCCTTATATTTTAGTCATAAACACATAATAATTCATACAATATCCGATTGTGGCAAATGATATGCTTACGATATTAGTAGCTTTGTAAACAATGTCAATGTCAACATATAAGTCTATCCTGCACTGTAAAAATACTCCCGAAGCTAACTTTAGTAAAGTGTATCGGTAATTACGATTATATTAGTGTGGTCTCCGAATAAAGTATTTTATAATTTAATTCTAACTTTGAGTTACGCATTAGGTAAGTTCCCAAAGTGTGCTACAGTTTACTTAAATTCTTCAGTATATTTTTTCAAACCCACACTGTTTTACAATACTCACTCTGAAAACCAAGAAAACAGTAGAAAAGCAAATCATTCTTTATATTAGGCGAGTATCAATTACGATATCGTATTTATTTACGATGTTACTTTTCAGCAAGTGCTCTTTTAAAGTATGAAATGTGCAAAATAATAAATCTAATTGGTTCACGTTTTGAGAACAAATCCACGTCGTAATTATTTTTATTATGTGTGTATTTTTTGTGTATATGTATATATATTTTGCTATAGTTAAACCCAAAATTTAAGTCAATTTGTGACACTCGTTAATTTTTAAATAAATACATGAAATTAAAAGTTTCTGTTTATACAATGAATTTGGCTGTGCTTCAGTTTTAAGTCACCGATTCGATAATATCATTAGAACAACGTGGACGCAGCGCTAACCGACCTCACAGACTGTCCTTACAGACCGGCAACAATGATGGCTGGATTCTCCACAGCAGCCTTCACCTTACGCAGGAACAACACAGCCTCACGTCCATCAATGATTCGGTGATCGTATGTCAGGGCAACGTACATCATTGGCCTGATCTTGACCTACAATATACATTAAAGGTTCTTGATAATTAAATCAAATTTTTGAAATCTCTATGAAACTCACCTCGCCCTTGACAGCGATAGGACGATCAAAGATGCCGTGCATGCCAAGTATAGCACTCTGAGGTGGATTGATGATGGGCGTGCCCATCAGTGATCCAAACACGCCACCGTTGCTGATGGTGAAGGTGCCACCGTCCATATCCTCAACGGTGATGGCATCGCGTTTGGCTTTGTCGGCCAATCCAGCTAAAGCTATCTCAATGTCCGCATAGTTCATACTCTCAACGTTACGAATGACGGGCACAACCAGACCACGGGGCGTAGCAACAGCCACTGAGATATCCACATAGTCACGGTAAACAATATCCTGCAAAAGTGAAAATATATGTAATATTCAACAATTTTATTTATACTAACAAAAGGAAAAAGCAATAAGATTTTTGTTGAACTTAAAAGTGGTTTAAGACTTTCGAGACATTATCGTATACCAATTTCGATACTTAACGTACGTAATGTTTTGATGAAACTGGTTCTATATAACTTGTTTATATATATCGACATATTTTGTTAATATATGTTATCTGATATAAACAAATTTTAATTTGTGTTGATTTTCAATCGAACTGATCTTTTACTAAATTGTTTATATCTGTGGGGCTAAAGTATATACGGATATACCTTTAAAGCCGGAATAACCTTTTTAAAGATAGATTTAACATATTTAAAGATAATCAATTTTAAATTTGATTCAATTACGTTTGAGACAGTAAAATGACATAATCTGAAATTCAGGCCATTTCGATTTCAAAGAAATTACGAAACAGAATTATCTATTCAAACAAATACTAAATAGCTATTGAGGTGACGAAAACAATTTTATATCAATTAGCTGCATAGCAAATACAACCGCGTTTTATCAGCTTATCAGAGAGCCCAACGAGTAAACAAATTAACGCCTGATAAGCCTCTAGTTTTATACGTCACAAGTGATTCAGGAATATAATTTACCTGGCCATCGATGACGGCGTTGACAACAGGCTGGTCTTGCAGCGCATAAGCACTGGCTTTCGAGAAGATGGACATGAAACCAAGTTTGATGCCATACTTCTTGGTGAATGCATCAAGATTTTGCTTACGGAAGTCCATAGCGTAGCTGTCGAGGCAGAGAGTTTTAGGTACATAAGACAAGTAATTTAGCGGCTGCTTCGTTAACTAACCTCATGTCGATTTCATTGAAAGTGGTCAACATGGCGCACGTATTCTGTGCGTCCTTCAAGCGAGCCGCGATTTTCTGACGCATGCGGTTCATCTTGACGCGTTGTTCGGATCTCGTACCCAAGATTTGACGGGAACCATCAACAGGAGGCACTTTCACCTGGGCTACGGCAGGCCTGACAGCAGCTGGTGGTGGAGCGGCAGCACGGGGAGCAGCTGGTGGCGGGCGCGCTGCTGGAGGTGGTGGCGGTGGTGGAGCTGATTTTGGCGCAGCGGGTGCAGGAGCAGCGGCCGGCGCCGCTGGCTTAGGTGGAGCAGCTGCAGCTGGGGCTGGGGCTGGTGCCTCCTTGGCTGGGGCGGGTGCTCCAGCTGGCTTAGCAGGACCTGCGCCGGGCTTTATTTTAAAAAGCTCTTGGCCGGGCTTAACCGTATCACCGTCCTTGACTAGAATTTCCGTCACGCTGCCAGCAAAGGGTGCAGGAACAGACATAGTTGTCTTATCCGTTTCGATCTCCATGACAGCTTCATCGGCACCGACCGAATCACCCACTTTGACGGTAAATCTAAACGATTGAAGCAATTATGTTAAAATCAGGTAACAGATAAGTTATCAACAGACAATAGAATCGTCTGACTTATAGTTTAACATACTTAATGTCACCTTCGGTGATAGAGTCGGCGAACGGCGGCACCTTCACTACTTGCTCTGACCACATGCTACTAGTGGTGTGAAAACTCTGCCAGCCCAAAGAACTGCGAATATATATGTAGATATTATAGAAGAAATGAAGTGGATCTCTTGTCATTTCTTACCGCATCGCATCTTGGCAGCGCAGAGTAGGATTCGTTTCCCGACGCAACAGTTGCTGCTGTTGCTGCAATGCAGCAACCATAGCCAGCTGGGAATACTGACGGGCGCTCAGCTGGAGCTGTGAAAGTAGTTAATGGAGGAGAGCATTACTATAACATAGACATACAAATATTTAAAAAAGAAAAGCAAATATTGTGCAATTTGATATATTATCAAGATTGCGTTCATCACGTGAATAATTTATGGAGGCGTGGCAGTGCCACGCTGATTGCGCCCCATTGCAGTGCAAACATTTTTTCAATTACATAATCGCATTATGAGCAGCCGCCAGCAGCTACAACAACTGATCCAAATACTCGCAAAATATGTGGCCGTGGCTCCGCTCTCAGCGCCATTCATTAATTTGATGCTGAGTCGAATATTCGATTGATTGTGCACAATTCAGGCTGTTCCTTTCGCTTACTTCATGATTCCGTACAGCTTGTAGGCCAACGGTTTGCACGTTGCGCGGCAATTGCCTCGTTAATATTGAAATAATGCCCGCCATTGATGTGGATGTCGTTATGTATCCGCTGCTGCTGCGATTGTTGGATTGTGTGAGCACTTTTTGTCGAAAATTTTAAAACTAAGAATTGTGTTGGGGCTACGGCAATCCAACAGCGTTTCTCCCCTCTTAACGAATGTTCATTTCTTATGTCATGGCTAAACTCTCAGCTGAGCGCGGAATTTTTCTCTTGCATACTGCGGTCACACTGTCTTTAGTGTTGGTCAAATTATTACACCTTCAACATATTTTAGCTGCGGAATGTGTTCTAATACATTTTGATTTTTAAAAATACATTTAACTAAGACTTAATTTTGATATTTTTTAAACGTTTATATATGAATAATAAAAAAGTGAAAATCAGTTTCAAATAAAAACAATTTAAAAATAACTAAATATAAATAAAAACAATTTTACAAATGCCATCAGCTGCGCACAAGCATAAATATATTATTATTACCTCTCGCTAATTGAAAAATAACGAAATTGCTTCGTTTTTTTTTTCATTCTCCATAAAACAGCTGATTTGCTATCGATTAATATTGTGAAATGAAATCTAAATAAAAAAAGTGGGAATATTCGGTTCAAGTTCAGTAACACTTTTGCATTCAGTGGCGGACAACCTTTGCCAAAATTTTAGCATTGTGCAAATTTTTTGGCTTACGAAAGAAGAGGAAAAGGCATAAGAACCATGAGTTCCAAATCCATATTTGAAACCGAAGAAGATGTGGCGCAGGCCAACAAGTTTGTGAATAAGGCCAAGGACTCGCCCTTTATGTTGGTCGGTAAGTCAAATAAATCTTTACTATCAATATTTTGTTGCATGCGGATTGGCAAACCTCTCAAACATTTCCTGTGTTGTGACGTCACGGAAACTTTCTATTGGATACGTACATACATACGTGTGTGTGGGTGGGCAAGGATAAGCATGCATACCTTGACCTTCGCGGTGAACTGGCGATTTTCGGTTAGATAGATACATACACTGAAACGTATGTATGTGCATACGTGCTAAGAACACAGTGACATAACGTTCATTAACACGTGAATTTCATCATAATAATGTAATTTTATGTGTGTATGTGTGCGAAATTGATGCTGCAACTGGACAGTTAAACGGTTTACCACTGTAAGGGTTAACATTTAAACACCTACATATGTATGTAGGTGAGTGTGTGTATGCATGGGCACATCAATTGTATTGTGTATTAACACATCAATGACGTCGCGCTTGGCGCGTGTACTGCGTTTGTATTGGTGCGTCAGCTGCCGCCGTCTGGTGATTATCAGCTAGCAACAACAAAAGACACTTTTGGCAAAATACAATTACAATACAATTTTTGTTTGTTTTTTCTACGTAGGCATTGCTGGCTTCGTGGCAGCGGGTCTGATTGGAGCGTACAAATACAAAAATCGCGGCACGATGAGCACCAGCGTCTTCCTTATGCAGCTGCGTGTGGCAGCGCAGGGCACAGTCGTTGGCTGCCTGACCGTTGGACTCGGCTATCAGATGGCCAAGGAGTATCTGTTCGACAAGAAGCCCAAGGAGAAGTAATGCTTCATTTTATATTAACTCATTCACTTAAATGTTAAATGTAGTTTTGTAATTGTAATCTAGTTGAATTGTTGGATTATCAGATGCGTCCCGAGAATCGCGAATTATCTCAGCTTTGTATATTTGTCATTATTTAACAAATATTTCATTTTTTTTTAGTTTGAAGTCTTTACATAATTAGTACACATTTGATTTGGCCCGCACATTTCCCCAGACACCATCCAAAACATTGCCAGAGGCTTTGACGAAAGTTTTAATACCAATTTAATATTACATATTTATTACCATACATTTACGAAAATTGTAAAAAACACAAGACGACAAATTGTTAGATCAAATTCTTAAATGTAAGATGGTAAATGTTTTATATGCCTGTGTAAGATTGTGATAATGCGTGTTTGATAAAAACAAACAAAAAATACTATCTAAAATATTTACATACACATGTAAACTGTCGAATTGTCGGAATGGTCTGAACGATAAATACCTCCTATGTAAATGATATGCATATAATTAAAAGCAACTAATTAAGTTATTAAAAAAAAAAAACATGTTTTAATTCTGCCTAAAATTCTAATGTCGATGGATCAGTAAGAGGTATCAAATGTAAGAAAACAGCAGTTATATGAGTGGTGGGTCGTCAATTTTATTGGCTATGCGATTGTTGTTGTGGTTACATGCTTAGTTTATCTTAATATCAGGAACAATTCGCTCATTGTCATAGATCTCCTTAGCGAAGCACAGATTGGGATAGTCAAAGGCAGCGCCATAGCGATTCTTGCAACCGGCTGTGGCACGATCGCCGGGTGTGTAGACGGGCTGTCCAATCACGTTAGTGGTGGCAAAGTTGCAGGTGAGCACGAAGTGGTTGTAAAAGTCACGAGAGAAGCGTACGGCGGCACATCCCACATGGGTATTCTTCTCGGCGACGGCAATGGTGAATTTGGCAATCGCCTTGTTGGGCAGTTCTTCAGGGAAGCTGGCAAGAATTTCAGGAGAGGTATGAGTGCGCTCGGAGAACCAATTCTCAATCTGTTCCTTGATGATCTCCGCATCGGTGTACTCCGATTCGGGACCACTATAACTGAAGATGGCATTGTTTTGGCCAGCGTATGCAAAGCGCTCAGTGCTGCGGCACTTGTCTGGCAGGGACTGGCAAGTTTTCACATTGAGTAGGGCCAAATGAGTGAGCTCCTCGCACCAGGACATCTTGGCCATTCGTGCAGCCTTGGGTAGACCCTCAAATGTGCCGCCGGCAACCTTGTTGCGCAAATCATTAAACAATGATAGAATCAGCTTCTGATGTCCATCCAACTTAATCTCACGAACATCCTTAGGGCATTCCTCGCTAAAGTTCTGCAAAGTGATTTAAAATTGCATATCGATATAGTCATGTAAGGATCAGCTACCACCACTCACGCCCTTATTGTTGCAAGCAATATGCTTGTCCAGACATGTAGGCAAGGCGCAATAGTCCACAGCTGTGGCGATCCCTGCCAGAGCGACCAATAGAACCAAGACTTTCATGGTTGTGCTTGTTGAAACTGTTAAAATGAATATGATGTCCAATTCGTTGCAGTCTTTGCTATTTATAGTGCTTCACTCAAACTATTGGCATATTATTTCAGCCTGGTTCTATTTAAAAATCTGGTTTCCAGGCTACCATTCTTATAAATAGAAATATGAGTAGCCAAAGCAATATGATCCGGTGCCATTAATCTATACATGTGTATGTACATTTGAATGTATTTTTGTAAATTTATCAGTCATTTATTATTTATATAAGAGTTATGTGCCATGCTTTCCCATCGACTTTATATCTTACATTAAAGTTAAATTAAATAAAATTAAAAAGAATAAAGCCAATTCAAGTAATTGATTGCTAAATTAAACAATAAAAAGATTAAATATACCCTGTAATTATTCAAAAGTCAAATAGAGCATTTCCTTCAGTAAACAATCACTGTTCACAGCATATGTGATTAACAGAGTCTGTTAATACTAAAACAAGCAGTAGCAGGTTCGCTCGATATCAAGAAGAGTTCCGATAACTGATTGTAGTTCCGCTGATAGCTATTTTAAAAATTGAAACAAGCGGCTGAACTCTTTTCGGCCAATGAAAATAAAAACCATTTAAAATGTCTTTATTGTCTGCTATTTGCGAATTCGCTACAGTTTAAAATAATTGTAATTGATAGGATAAAGTCCCTGTGAAACCTATCGATATCTATCGACGAAATAGCAAATTACGGTCTCCCCTCTGTAATTCGCTGTTTGCACATTTACTCCAGTATGGATACAATAAACAAAGAAAAGTCGGTTGTCTTGCTCAACGGCGATGCGCTGCCCAACGGTGAGATCAAATCACCATTCCTTATTGGAGTTGCCGGCGGCACAGCCAGTGGCAAATCAACTGTATGCAAGAAAATAATGGAGCAACTTGGCCAGGCCGAGATGGATCATACGCAGCGGCAAGTGGTGTCCATTAGCCAGGACAGTTTCTATCGTGAGCTAACGCCAACAGAAAAGATAAAAGCGCAAAAGGGCAAATTCAACTTTGATCATCCGGATGCATTCAACGAGGAGCTCATGTACGAGACGTTGCAGCGCATTCTGAAAGGTCAGATAGCCAAGATCCCCAGCTACGATTACCGCACCAATTCGCTGTAAGCAAACATTCTCAATTGGTTATATTGACGGCATTCGCCAATGCGATTTCTCTGTTTGTAGTGACTTTGATAACGAGCTGGTCATCTATCCTGCGGACGTAGTGCTCTTTGAGGGCATCTTGGTATTCTATTTTCCCAAAATACGTGATCTCTTTCATATGAAGCTCTTCGTGGATACGGATTCCGATACGCGGCTAGCACGACGAGGTAAGTAGGATGATTAACATAAGATATTCACTGATTACTTCAATCTTCTAGTGCCACGTGACATCAATGAGCGTGGCAGAGATCTGGACGCTGTGCTTACCCAGTATATGACGTTTGTGAAGCCCGCGTTCGAGGAATTTTGTTCGCCGGTAAGCCAAATATTGCAATTTATAAATTCTGTTTATCAACAAAAATCGTTCTTTCGTTCTTGCAGACTAAAAAATTTGCTGATGTCATAATCCCACGAGGAGCGGACAATACAGGTAAGATATAAATGTGCGCCAACAGCCACATAAACACGTGCTTTGCTTAATTTGAGAACTTTATCTACACCCACACTAAACAACACGCACACAGACAATACACTGACACTTAAAAAAACTCCTGTGAAATTATTGAAGTGTTTAGTTAAAAACGTTTACCTAGTTTTCCTGTATATATATATATTCGTATATGTAGTTATATACATACATGTATCTAGTTTATGTTACAATGCGTTTGAATTTGTTTTTTGGGTTTTACTGTTACCAATTTCTGTTTCCCAGCTCAATTAACACAGATATAGAACAATAACTTTGATAATACTGTGCCTGACGTTAATTTCCGTCTTTCCATATTCCTCTGTCGTTACTCGTTTCTCGTTTCCTCTTTCCTACTTTTTGTTTTCGTTTCTGTTACAATGTATTTCTTGCAGTTGCCATTGATCTCATTGTACACCATATCGGAGAAATTCTCGCAGCCACGAACATCGCACAGCACAACACAGCTCGAACTACGGCCTCCAGCATGAAGCGCGATCACTAAAAAATATTCCCCAATATATATATATATATATATATACATATATACATATATGAGTTTATATGTATATATATTCTGTTTTTAATTCTTAAGCAAAAACAAAACAAAATATTTGTGTTCCTAACCAAATGTGCTGAGCTTTCACTAATTGCAAATGATATGTGGAGCGCAGGTCGCCAGGCAGATTAGATGCCTCGCTTTCGTTCGCTATGGTCCTAATCACACTTAACCAATTAACGTTACATTAAGCTAGTAAAGTGTATAAGCTTATAACGTTTTATTAATATAACTTTAATTTACGTTTCATCAACCTTAACTCGGGCTCAAATAAATATATATTTAATGTTATAATAAAACTAAACAAAAATATTTATATATTTATATATATAAATATATTGTTATCCCAAGTGTTTTAAGCTCCTTTACTAATTCTATTCGAATACACAATTTATAATTTACAATTCATACAGAAACACATAGTTATCCCTATGGTATTGTGTCTATATGTTCTATCACATCAATCAACCACATTTCAGGAATATGTTTAATATATAAATTAGCTGAAAAGATGATATAATTTTGCAGTCATTAGCTATGATCTTAAGCCATCTAACAATCTAATATCATAGTAAAGGTCAACAGAATTTAGTAACTGTTTCTCAAATACTTTTTGAAAGGTATTGTTAAATTTTTGTTATTAAATTTTGTTGACCCGTTTTTATAACCTTAATATTATCATATTCAATCATAATTAGTTTTTCATAAAGTTCTTAAAAAAATATTTCAAAGAAAATAAAGCTACAGATGTAAAATCTCTAATACTTGCAGAATAATATTGTATTGGCTATCACAGTTCTATTCCTTAGCTAAACTTGTTTATGTTATTACACTAACTAAGCTAAACTAAGTTCTTAAACGTGGTTTATTTGGAATACAAATAACTCCGGAGCATTAATGCTTAAATAGTTAAGCTAAAAGCTTTAAGCCATGTAAAATCTATTTACTGTAGAAGAGATGGAAATAGAAAAGCTCTTGCACACATGTACACCCATAAGTAGAGAATAACAATAGAGAAAACAATAAGCAAAGAAAGTTATGTATAGTCTAACGATTGGATCTCTGGATATTAAGCTGAGTCAAGTGAGTACAGAAACTGTTTCAAGTGCATCAAAAGTCGTTCCAGTGGGCTCAGCCATAGCCACAAGGTAAGTGCTCGAAATGTATTTAGACTTAAATTGAAGTGCTTCATTTGTTGAGTTGCAGCGTTAAATATCATTTAATATATAATAGATATTTTGCTAAATGCCACAAAAAATGTAGACAATGCACATTTTACTGAAGACATCTTGATATTCTGACTGTGTTTTGCTTTGCAGTGGCCATCGATTTGATTGTGCAGCATATCCGAGATTTCCTCAACAATCGCTCATATCCCGGCTCAACGACCAATATGGCTTTGTATATGAACATGGAGCTCTGCGAGAACAGTGGCGATGGCGCCCTGGGCGCAGGTAAGCAGATGAAGCTGCTCTGCAAGGCGCGTCCACACTAACAAACGAGACCTCTGCGCGGGAGCAACTCCTGAATGCACGACAGACATAGATACAAACTAGAAATACATATACTTAACCCTGCATGCTGCTAGATATAGATTGTTAAGTTCTATGTCTACATCTATATATACATATATACGTAAGTGTAAACTTTCTGTGTGTTTCGTATGTGAAAGATGCGGCTGGTGGCAATGACATCGCCAGTGATAACGGCAACAGCACCTACAATGCCATCAGACGTTTCTCGACGCTTTGCAAGGAGCTGACCATGAAGGGCAACGTCTTCTTCGAGACAAACAAGAATCTCCCACATCATTGACCAGCACCATCTCAACTCAGAATTCTACACACGCGTAGTAATTGTTATGCTATTATATTTTGTGTTTAAATAAAATGTAAAAAAATAATAATAATGATAGAAGAGTCAGATCTTGCATTTGTACATCAGGTTTATCTTGCGGATATCGCTGGGCGAGAAACCACGCCTTTGGCCCAGTTGCCGCGCATCAGGATGGTTGCGCAAGACTTTTAATGTTGGCTTTCCATTTTTCGAGAAGCTGGTGCTGGAGTAGTGCATGACGCTCGCGTAGTCATACCCGATTCCAAATGCTGAGTGTGTCCTGGCACTGCCCTTCTCAAAGTTGCTCATCATGCCGGGCTTCACATTCTCGCTCAGCACCTTCACGTAGTCATCCCGTTCGTAGCGATTCTGTTCGTGGAGAAAGCCCAGCGCATGCATCAGTTCGTGGATGGGAGTGCCGTAGGTGCGTAGGCAGTTGGGTGACTGTAGATTCACCTCCTGCCGGCCACCGAGGCGCCCTATGCTGCTCCAGCAACCAGATTTACCGTTCACTATGGATATGTAATCTCTTTCCACTGTGCGCTGCTTAAAGCGAATGCAGGTTTTATTGTGGTACTCATTAAAGGCATGATGTATATTGTCCAGCTCCTGTGGCGTGAATGTTCCCTTTATTTCGTAGGGTACCACACCGCCTGGCCACCGTGTACTCAATGCCAAGAGCCCATTGCGTGTGTCCTCGCGAAATCTCATAGGTATTAGTATATCGCCCTCGTGGTAGGTGCCAAGCTCTTCAGGATTTTCCATTGATTCCTGCCCATGTGCGTCAACTAAAGCTCCAGTAGTTTCCAAATCAGGATTACCATATATCGCTTCTCCCATCTCCGACAGATCGATAAATTCATCATCCGTCTCTGCATCAATTTTACTAACGATGCTAAAAAGAACCAAAGTAATTGTTAAGGTTGGACTAAACTTTGCCATTTTGCAAAATTCACAGACTGTTGTAGCTTTAATAAAGTGCACGACTATATATAGATACGCTTAAAGGCCAGCTCCTCTTACCTAGACCTTCAAAAATTGCCGACTTGGCGTCGGCTCTGTTTGTACTTATGCTGATAAGAAATTTGGATGATATCACCTGTGCTTCATTTGTATTGCGCACGGCTGCATATCCAAGTGCGTGATTTATGACCGTCATTATGCAGCCCATTTTATGCTCATGTGCATATTTGTGTCAAATATAGGAGCCAGTCGCAGATTTTGCGAAATTTACGATTTAAACAACTGAGCACTCTTTAACGGCTTCTGGAGATTGAAATTTTGATCAACGATTCAGTGCTGTAAAATGGCTTTGGTAAGCTATCGATACATAACAAAAACTATTGTAGTTGACTATCGATAATTGTAATGTAATCGTTGGCATATTCAAAATAAACATAAATGTATTGAAAACATATAGAATAAATATCACAAACTATTCATGTATAGATATAAAGTTTGTGTTTATAATTTTTCGTTTTTGCAGATTTTGTAATCAATAGTTTTATTTAATATTCAATTTAACATGAAAAATACATTTCGTCTTTGGCGTTAGAGCTTCAATGCACTTGCCGATACACATTTTGCATTTCGATTTTTTCCGAGATTATAAATCGATCAATTCTGATTTGCCCATGGCTACCTGTTGTGCTCATATACTCATAATACCAGCCCGCTCACAGACAGTAGTTGTCTTTCTCACACACATTGTCAGCTAGGGATAAGTGCGAGCGCTCGAGCACGGCTGACTCAAAGTCTGCCTTCTACATGACAAACGAGCGCGCCATTCAGTTCGCATTTCGTTCTCGACCGTGTTAGACGTTTTTAGTTATTTGAGCGAACGCCGAGAGCTTTTGTTTATTTTGCCATTATATGCAGGTGTGCGCGGGTGTTAGTGACTGTGTGTGTTAGCCAATGCAAGCCAGAAACCGTGTATTGGTGGAGCAGCCAATGCTGCTTGCAGTTCAAAAGGGCACACAAAAGCGACGACCAGAAGAAGCAGCAGCAGAACAATACCTGATGGAAGGCAACAAAAACAGCATTTAAGCCAACTCGTTCGTTTATGTTTGTGCCTGTGTAAGTGAGCTTAAGTGCGTGTGTGTGTGTATTTGTTCTAACGAATACACAAACAAATCAAACTTCTTATAATGGCCAGCGCTATCCGTGAGTATTTGCCGTGTGCTCAATACTCATACTCAAATTCAAATTCAAATTCATATTCATGCTAGAAAGTGTCGCGTGCGAAAGTGTTGAAATAAAACCAGCAGCAGCAGTCGCGCACTTTTTTATATTGCAAAAAAAAAACTAAAACCTGTTCTAGACGCCAAGTGCAAGTAACACACACACACATACGCGCGTGAATCCATGTGTAAAGAGAGAAAAAGGCAATAAACAATAACCAAAACAAGTATCAAACGAAAGAAAACTGAAGCTCAATGTACGCTGCGATCCTTTAAACCAAAACATACATACATAACAAATAAAATAAAGTGAATTGAAAACCCTTCAATCTTTTGGGAAAAAGAAACAATAATTTGAAATTCTACGATTCCAATCCGAAAAACGATCATGGCTATGACTGCTGCGGCTGCCTATGCGTCAGCAACCGCCAACAATGCGCACGTCACACAACAGCAACAACAACAACAACAACAACGACGTCAACGAACAACAACAAATCAGCAGAGACAGCAGCGGCGACTGAGCCGTGCGCGCACGAAAAGCGCAGCTCAACTGAAGTCGACAGCGCAGTCGACTTTGCTGCTCAAGCGCGCTTGCTCAGCGCCCCAATGGATATTTCTCTTCATATTAATTTATTTAGCAACAGGTGAGTCTGTGTGTGTGAGCGCGCCTGCACATGGTCTGGACCTAAGTGTGTGAATATTGACAATCGTTCAAGTGTGTGTGTGAGCATATTTGAGATAGAAAGAGGGAGCGTGACCGAGAGCGAGAGAGCTGCTGTAATAACAACATAAATACATAAAATTTCATATGACACCATTGTGGGCTCCAATTTTCTGCTGAGCCACATACATACCTACGTATATATATATGTATGTATGTACACTTTTCGAGTGCATTGTGTTTGGGGAGAGTGTTAGCTGTAGTTGTTGTTCTTGTTTGTGTTATAATTGAGCTTATTGTTGCTTGTTTACAAAGCGACATGTGCCAATACCTGTAAAGAGGTCGGCGTAGGTCTTTCAGTAATAATACCTGAGCATAAATAGCTTTTGAATGAGTAACACTCAAAGCCGCTTGCATCAAAAAAATACTAATTGTCATTTAATACTGATTATTAAATTTATTGATTTGATATGAATAGATGATATATTTTCAAATCTCTGTTCACATTGAGTGATCTCTGCTCGAGTCTATGTATGTATGCTATATACAAGGAATATATAGGTTTAAATCATACATATATTAACAGATTTTGTAAAATTTTACTTTTGTGTAAATTCAATATAATATTTTTAGCTTCAAATGTTTGTTGAAAATATCTCCAATGTATTCTAATTTCATTTTCGGATAACTTATTTAGTTTTTGGACAAGCTAAAAAAGCTCGGTCAATATTGAACATTTAATACAGGCTAAAATTTACCCAGACAGTAAAATATATACTGGAGTCTATTTACATTCGATTTTTTACTTTGTTTACTTAACGAATAAACATTGTAAAAATCATAAATAGTTATTGTTTGCTTGCCAAGGTTGTTGAAGCTCGGAATAATAAATCTTAAAAAAATGACGCATAGATTTTATAAATATTTTTGCTGTGCATACACAGGCTTATCTACCTATCAAACAGACATATGTTTGCTTCCATTTTCTACTCGAGTACACACATCTCGATAATTTACAGGGTATAAAGATCAAATATAACTGTTTGCCTGGTCATCAACGTACATTGTGCAAAAGAGCGACCTCAAAAATGTATTTTTCTTTTATTATTAACAATACACACTTATGAATACATTAGATGCGTATGTATGCGTTTGTTTGTGTACTCACAATTTGTTGTTATGCGCGTATCTTATCTTAGCGGAAAGCAAAGTAATCGTAGCCACAACAAATGCATACGGCAACCGGCAACAGCGTTTGGTAATTTGATAAAGCCGCTATTGCTGGAGGCCAATCTTGGCATCTAGTTGTAACAGTTGCACTTGGGAAAAGCCCTCGCAATGATGATGCGAAGAAGAAGACGTGCAACAACAGCAAATGCAACAACAACAACTGGTTTTTCAGCCTCATCATAAAAACGTAGCTAACGTCGTCTCGTCGATCATCAAAGTCGGGTTTCCATTGAAATGCATCCTAAAGTGAAAATATACTTTATTTTCAGAGGAAAAATCGCAGCGCAGGTAATATTTACAAACGCACATACACACCTAGAGAAAATTACCTGTGCTACCTGCGTTGTTAACGTTAACAACACGTGACCTCGCGGAACCGCCGCGGACGTGGTTCCCTTGCTGCGGGTGCGGGTGCGGGTGTGTCACCCTCGGTCTGGTCAAGTGTTAAAGCGCAATCGGCCGGAACGCGTGTCCCATTCAGCCGCTGGGCCTACGCACCCGACTGACGGCCATTGCATGACGATGTCCATTAGTGCAAGTCGTCAATATAATGTATGCCATGTACTTAAAACTATATATACATGTACATAAATGTGTACATAAATGGGGTATATATAGACTAGAAGCTGAAAAAATTATGAATTGAAAGAAATGGATTAGATGATGAGGGCAGAAAAACAGATTAATCTTCTTATATAATTAGGAACCCTAGAAGTTTTACCTCAATTAACAAGGATCGCATATTAGGAATAGCTTATATATAATATCATATAACTAAAATATAGTCCTTGTATAGTTAAAAGAACATTTTAAATTTATTTGAGAGAAGTGTGCCATATTTACCCGAAAGCATATTAGAATAATTTATGAATACTAACTATTTTAGAATGTTACCTAATAGATTGGCCATGTCAAAAATAAATTATTGTTAGATATTTGCTTCGCTTATGATTTATATATTATGGCTATATAATATATTTGAATATTTAGGAATACTAAATGAAATTGATTGTTACTTAATAAGTTTCCCCATTTAAAAACACAATTTTACTAGATATTTGCGCTTGCATATATGCATAGATATAATTTAGTTATATATATCGTATTGGAATGATTAGGAATACTACAGGAAATTGCATATTATTAAACACGTTTTCCATTTTAACAATCAATTGTTTTTAGATTCTGCATATATATTAAATGTAAATATATAAAAATTGATTTATATATACATATATTGACAGTTTTTACCTTCATGTACATTCCCTTGATCGTTAAACTTTCATAATTGCATATGTTAAGGGCATATTTATTGTGTTTTGAAGAAAGGGCAGACTTACCTGTGCAGCGCTGCCAGTTTGCAGGCTTCAGCATCGGGTGCATCGATTTTCAAGCGCCTTGAGAAGACCACAAACCGCAAACAAATGAAATATTAAAATAAAGCAGAAACCAGACAAAAAAAAATAAAAAATAAACAAAAACCAAATTGAAATAAAACAAAATGCTCGCACATAATGAAAATGTCTCTGGCTACTTTCGCTTTTAGTTGGAAACAAATGTTTAAATTGTGGGCGTTGTTAAGTGTATCTGTTGTTGTTGTTGTTGTTGTTGCTGCTGCTGTTGTCATTGTCATTGTCTTTATCAGAGCCATCACGTAGCTGCGTTTTATCTGTCGCTATTTGCATACGCAGCGAACCGACCGCAACAGCCAGCCATTGGGCTTGACTCAGCCAAGTTAAAGCGTTCGCATCCGCACTGTGGAATGAAAACCTCACAAAATCGAAATAGAAAACATAATAGAAAGAAATGTGAAATTAATAGAGTGTGTATGATGGAGTCTAATAATAATAATAATAAATTAAAATGGCTTTGGGCACATTAAAAACATATTGATATTATTTAATAAAAAATTATATTTATTCTTAAAATAATATTTACAAAATTCAAAGCCATTTTTTATTGCGAAAGCTCTTCAAATATTTATCAGATATACATTAGTTACATGAAAGATAAAGTGAAGTAAGGCATGCTCTAACAAAGTTCCAGTTCCACTTTTCCCCCCATTTTCGACTGCTCTTTGTATCGAATTTCAGATTCTTCAACCCATGAGTCAGCACTGCATATTACCAAACAAACGAATAAAAAGTAAAATAAAATACAATAAAATAAAAGAGCTTCAAGGCTACAGAGAGTTTCGACATGTGTTTCGTATATTCTGGTTTTGATGAAATTCAGCTTCGGCTTTCCATTCCACAGTGCAACGCCCACCAATTGTTGCAGGCCCGTTCTTTTGACCGTTTTCGACAGTGTTTGTTCAGATTGTTCCGGACCGTGGCTGGGACCGGGGTCGGGGCCCGGGCACGGTCACCGGAAAAGATTCTCAGGCATTTTTCAACAGTTCATTGCTTTGTGCTACTTTGCCGAACGGGTCTTCTGGAGCGCTCGAACAGCAAGGGCTCTAACTGAGTTGCGTCCAATTGTTGTTGCTGCTGGCTGTTGGCTGTTGCTGCCACTGAAAACTGGTTCCCAGGCGAGTTGCGTTGACTGCGGCTGCGACTGCGGCTGCGGCTGCGGCGCCACCTCAGTGGTTCCACAGTGTGCCCAATTCTAAGCACTTTGGACGCATTGCTATTCCCAGAAACGTCTTAGCCCAACAACTCATACATAGATAAAAACGAGGTGGAGCACCGCCGACTAAAGGTTGCCAGTCCCGAATTTGAAGGTGGGCAACCGCTGGGCGTTTCGGGCGCGTTTCTCAAGCGTTTTCAGCGCGTTTGCGTTCATGTGACGCGACTATTTATCTGAATTAATTAGTTTTACTTCGCATGTGTGAATTGCTTTTGTTATAATCATCTACCTATTGTATAATAATACAGTCTAAGCAACGCAGCGTATTTATTTAAATATTTAAAACTTGTCTCGCATTCTTAGCAGCGCAGGCGGAAATTTGTGTGGGAACTATTTTGTTAGGATAGACTAGATTGGCTGCTTTCCGAGTTGGTGTTGCACAAACGATTACCAAGTGTGGAATATAATGCTATAGATCTCAAAGTGTTTGCCGTCCAATGGGAACAAGTCTCGCTCGTTTGCAGCTGCTTCGAACAAGAGATTCTTTTAAAGTTCACTTTTCTCCAACTGATAATAGTTGAACAAATGCCCATTTAAAAGCACTTAGTATGCGTCTTGACAAGTTCTTTTACACAAGTTTACACAGTTTTCTAATTTCTTTACATGTCGTGCAAGCAACTTGAAAATAATGATAAATAAGTTCCATTCACATAATTCAGTAAACGGTGATTTTTCATTTAATATACAAATAAAATAAACTCTTTCAAGCAATCCTAAAGTCTAGAGATCTATATCGATTTCTCTTTATCTCTATGTCTAGCTCTGCCTTTTGTTCTGTGCCTTTTCTTTGGGTAATATTATAGCTTCAAAGCATTTCGATAATCGCATTATCAACAAACTATAATTAAACAATAATCGCGACACGTTTTCACTTTTCCGAATCGAATAACGAACACTGAAACTGAAACTGAGCTCACAGAGCAACGCAACAATTAAATTGCAATTAAAAATGTTTTTCAAAATTAATAAACGAAATTGTTACTGCTATTGCTGTTAGCAAATTCAAGAAAAATGGCTAAAAAGTAAGAGCCCATCAGCGAAAGAGCCAAGCGGCATAAATAATTTATGCAACTGGGGAGCATCCGACAGCCAGTAATACAACACTTGAATACTCAGTGAAAAATG